TCTCTGAGAATCTCTGAGAATCTCTCAGAATCTACGAGAATCTTTGTTAATCTTTGAGAATCTCTGAGAATCTCTGAGACTCTCTGAGAGTCTCTCAGAATCTCTGAGAATCTCTGAGAATCTCTAAGAAGCTCTCAGAATCTTTGAGAATCTCTCAGAATCTCTGAGAATCTCTGGCAATCTCTCAGAATCTCTCAGAATCTCTGAGAATCTCTGGGAAAATGAGAATCCATGAGAATCTCTCAGAATCTTTGAGAATCTCTGAAAATCTAAAAGAATCTCTGAGAATCTCTTAGAATCTCTGAGGGTCTCTGAGAATCTCTGAGAAACTTACAGAATCCCTGAGAATCTCTGAAAATCTTTGAGAATCTCAGAATCCCTGAGAATCTTTCAGACTCTCTGAAAATCTCGGAGAATCTATCAGAATCTCTGAGGATCTCTGAGAATTTCTGAGAATCTCTGAGAACCTCTGAGAATCTTTCAAAATCTCTTAGAATCTATTAGAATCTCTGATAAACTATCAGAATCTCTGAGGATCTCTCAGGATCTATCAGAATTTCTGAGAATCTCTGAGAATCTTTGAGAATCTCTCAGAATCTCTGAGAATGTTTGAGAATCTCTCAGACTCTCTCAGAATCTCTCAGACTCTCTAAGAATCTCTGAGAATCTCTGAATCTCAGGATCTCTGAGAATCTCTGAGAATCTCTGAAAATCTTTGAGAAACTCTGAGAATCTCTCAGAATCTCTCCGAGTCTCTAAGAATCTCTGAGAATCCCTTAAAATCTATCAGAATCTCTGAGAATCTCTCAGAGTCTCTCATAATCTATCAGAATCTCTGAGAATCTCAGAATATCTGAGCATCTCTGAGAATCTCCAGAATCCAAAAGAATTTTGAGAATCTCTGAGAATTTCTGAGAATCTCTGAGAATCTCACAGAATATCGGAGAATCCCGGAGAATCTCTGAGAATCTCTGAGAATCTCTGAAATCTTTCAGAATCCGTGGGAATCTCTGAGAATCTCTGAGAATCTCGCAGAATCTCTGAGAATCTTTCAGAATCTCTGAGGATCTCTGAGAATCTCTGAGAATCTTTGAGAATCTCTGAGCATCTCTGAGCATCTCTGAGAATCTCTGAGAATCTCTGAGAATCTCTGAGAATCTTTGAGAATCTCCCTGAGAATCTCTGAGAATCTCTGGGAATCACCAGAATCTCTTAGAATCTCTGAGAATCTCTCAGAATCTCTGAGAATCTCTCAGAATCTCTGAGAATCTCTGAGAATCTATCAGAATCTTTCAGAATCTCTCTGAAACTCTGAGAATCTCTGTGAATCCATCAGAATCTCTGAGAATCTCTGAGAATCTCTGAGAATCTCTCTGGATCTCTGAGAATCTCTGAGAATCTCTGGGAATCTCTGAGAATCTCTGAGAATCTCTAAACATCTCTGAGAATCTCTGAGAATCTTTCAGAATCTCTGAGAATCTTTGAGAATCTCTGAGAATCTCTCAGAATCTGTGAGAATCTCTCAGAATCTTTGAGAATCTATCAGAATCGCTGAGAATATCTGAAAATCTATCAGAATCTGTGAGAATCTCTGAGAATCTCTGAAAATCTTTCAGAATCTTTCAGAATCTCTGAGAGTCTTTGAGAATTTCTGAGAATCCACCAGAATCTCTGAGAATCTCTGAAAATCTCTCAGAATCTTTCAGAATCTCTCAGAATCTCTGAGAATCTCTGAGAATCTTTGAGAAACTCTCAGAATCTCTGAGAATCTTTGAGAATCTGTGAGAATCTCTGAGAATCTCTCAGAATCTCTGAGAATCTTTCAGAATCTCTTAGAATCTCTCAGAAACTCTGAGAATCTTTGTGAATCCATCAGAATCTCTAAGAATCTCTGAGAATCCATGAGAATCTTTCAGAATCTCTGAGAATCTCTGAGAATCTTTGAGATTTTATGTGAATCCCTGAGAATCTCTGAGAATCTCTGAGAATCTCTCAGAATCTCTGAGAATCTCTGAGAATCTCTGGGAATCTCTGAGATTCTCTGAGAATCTCTGAGAATCTCGGAGAACCTCTCAGAATCTCTGAGAATCTCTGAGAATCTCTCAGAATCTCTGAGAATCTCTGAGAATCTCTGAGAATCTCTGAGCATCTCTGAGAATCTCTCAGACTCTTTCAGAGGCTCGCAGTGATTCTCCGAGAGTCGCATAAGTTGGAGCTTTTCAGAGGCTCCAAAGTGGTTGGGATCTCACGCGTCCCAGGGGTCATTGACGGTTGGGATCTGAACCGTCCGGTTGGGATCTTACGCGTCTGGTTGGGATCTGAACCTTTCTCGTGCGAGGACGGGGAAGAAGTGGAGGGTCCGCGTATGCCCCTCTTCTACTTCTCCCTTGCTGGTTTGGTTCGGGAGGGATGGAGGTCCTGTGCTACATCTGCTCGGGGGTCCTCCAGGGATGCCCACTCAGTGAGAGTCGGCACGTCATCGTATCCGATCTCTTCTACCACGACCTTGACTCGGTCACCGACAGGCACAGGCTGGGCTTCTCACGGTGCTCCGCGGATAATGTGGCTATCGCCTCCTTCACCGTGAAGGGTCTGCCAGAGGCATACCGTTTTTTTGTTGGGGGGTTGCTTACAAGTTCGTGAAGATCATGTTCAAGACCAGCACGTGCGTCATTCCAGTCGCCAGACCCCTCGCACTTGAGCTCGAGGCCGAAACTCGGGCGCTGCTCAAATCCATCTCCGCGGATTGGGGCCACTTCCAAGTGGTGGGCAAGCTGGCCTACCCGGGCTTCACCCATCGGACTTGCAGCCACGCTGGATGACATGTGGGGGCCTGTGTGCAGCAGGCTGAAAGGGTGGGTCAATCAGATTTCTTCCTCGATGGTCGACAGCTTCACGCGCTTCTTCCTGTGCCAGGCGCGCGATGTCGCCCCCATCGGCTACGAGGCCCAGCTTCAGCCTCTTCACTAGCGGTACGCGCGACTCCAGTGGGATCCGCCCCTGCGAGCAGGTGGCGACGTGGGGACTGGCTTCAGCTTCGAGAACTCGGAGGCCCAAAGATCACCGGCTTGGGTGCAGTCGCGGTGGCAGCGGGGCGCCCGACGGCTCTGAAAACCGCCCCGCAGAGGCGGAATCGGGTTCCCTGGACATGATCGTCGAACATGGGCGCAGGGGCCGCATCGCCACGCCTTTCTGGGAACAGCCGCCATTCGCAGTGTACCTTGAGCAGACAGGGTGGCAGGACCGCCTGCCGGCGCGCGGGCATGCCCTGCTCCTCCTCGGTCACCCGCGCTACGCTGGGGGCGGAAAAGCTGAATTCGCCTCCGTGACGGCGCGCCGCAACGCGCAGCTGCCACAGGTGCCCCCCCGCATTGTCATCACCGCGCCGGGGCGCCAGCGGCCGCGCTGGTTGCCTTTTGCTGGTTGACCCAGAAGGGGGTCCAGCTGAAAGAGGGTGGTGCGGGACATGCCCGACTTAACAGTATAGATCTGCGGTTGCAATACATTTGGGGCGTGCAATACCGTCTGGTGCGCAAAGGTCTTGCTGGATCTTCGCGTGCAATACGTGATGTGCAATACAATGCAGTACACTTCTCTGGCGCAGCCCCAAGTCTAACGCACCACCCCCTTCTAGCTGGACCCCTCTTGGGTCAAACAAACCTTTGTCAACCAAGCCACTGGGGCCACACAAGACGTCAGATCGGAGATGACACGGCTTCACCGCAAGGACCGTTTGACGACGGCGAGCGGCCCCGATGCGCGAGGCCTGGGGGGCGGTGTCCATGCAGAGGTTGCCCAGCTGTACCATCAGGGCCTGTTCTCCTACGACTTGTGCGACTTGCTGCCCCTGTCTTCGGAGGCCTCGCCCGACTGGGGCAGTCTCAAGGAACGGATGGTTACCTTGCAAATCGACCTGTAGACCATCGCGCTGAAGACGTGGAGCGGCGGGTGGATTACTAGTCGCAGGATGCAGCGGGGCCCCGAGGGAGGGCATCTGCAACGGTGAAGGCGTGCTCGGCAATGCAGCAGAAGCCACGGCGAGCGTAGGCCCATGCGCCAGACGGCGCCGCTGGTCCCAAGAGTTCCCGTTCCTGGTAGCATTTGTTCCCCACTCGGGTTGGACCAGCGGTTCTTGTGCTTCACGGCTGCGTTGTACCACTCCCGCCGCTTCCCGTCCCATCCAGAGAAAGCTGGACGCGCGCGACTTCATTTTCAATGCGTCCAGGCGTGGATCGGGGGCATCTGGCTTGCTATCAATCGGGCAGTGGGATAACGAATGAGAGAGTTAGTTTGACACCCGCATGTTCAGGGGCATCACACCCGACGCCTGTACGGATCGCCTCCGCCTCGCCGCCGACGAACAAACATCAGGGGCATGGCTCTCATACTTGTTGGACACCCTTGAGGCGATCCGCGGTCTCCTCTCCTCCTCGGCAGGGGGGCTCCTCTCCGCTCCCCGGTGAACAGGACGAGGGCTCTCCTGTGGGCGGCCCTCCTGGGCCTGATTTGACAGCTGCAGTGGGCCACCGCCACGACCATCTGAACAAGATCACGGGGCGGGCGGGGCACCGGGTTCCCAACCCGTGCCTCGGCCTCGGCGCGAGCCCGCCCAGCAATTTGGTGAGGTGGGGCACGTTGTGCATGGAGCGGGTGTCCGACCGCAAAGAATGCCGATCCCTCTGGCCGCCCTTTCTGAACCCCTCCCATCGTGCATCTCGGATCCGCGCCGAAGCTGAGCATCTCTGTCACCAAGGCTCGCAAAACAGCAGCCACATGAGGACCTCCTTCTCTCACTCCTTGACTCGGGGCTGGCGCGGTTCCCACGTACACCGTGATCGAGGTATCGAGGCCGACCAATGCACTGCGGAATGGACCGCTGGATGATGACACGCGTTCGGCCTGGGTGCTCATTTGGGTCAAGGACGCCTGTAGCCCTTGTCGTGTGAGCTAGTCCTTGATGGTGCTGTGAGTTCCCCGCTGCCCGCTGCCACCGCCCCGCCTGGACCTGGTCGAGTCCTTGTGCGAGCAGGAGGCGAGCGCAGAGGCCACGTCGGGCGTCGGCGATGACCCTCAGCCGCTGGACGTGCCGATGGAGCTGCCGCCCTGCACCCTACACTGGCGACGAGATCGACTACTTCAACGACTCTTGGGTGGGCCCCGGTAGCGAGGGCGAAACGTATGTGGCTCCCGGCCCCATGAAGCAACAATTCGAGTAGGAGATCGACTACAGAGTACCTCGAGTTTCGTGCGTTCGTCGAATCTACGAAGGTACGTCGAATGCCTGTACATCTACATCCATTCGACGTATGTGTTCGCACATTTGGCGGTAATTGCAGTTTTGGGGTAAATCAGTTCTGTAGTCGACCCCCTACTCGAACAGTGCCTGGGTCGCAGGCGGACCGTGCCGAGTGAGTCCACAGGCGCCGTGGCGCCTGCTGGCCCTTTTCCACCGCGCGAGCTCGCGCCTGCGGGTTCTGCACTCCCTCCCCGGACCACGCCAGCTTCCTCCTCCTCCTCCTCCTCCTCCTCCTCCTCCTCCTCCTCCTCCTCCTCCTCCTTCCCCTCCCCCTCCCCCTCCGCCTCCTGCTCCTCCTCCTCCTTGTCATCCTCCTCATCCTTCTCCTCCTCCTCCTCCTCCTCCTCCCCTCCTCCTCCTCCACCTCCTCCTCCTCCCCATCAGTAACTCAACATGAAAACGACTCCTCTTTTCCCCGACTGCGCCCTGAGAGTACACCCGCCTTCTCTGCTTTTCTTGGACTTGATTTCAGCACGAGATGTGTCAGATGCTTTTCATTGTCATCTGACCTCCTCCGGTGTTGCAAAGTGGTGCTCCCGCTTCAACTTGGGCCTGGGTTGATGATCGGCGCCTTGCTTCCGTCGTTCCGAATGGCGCTCATACCCCAGCTCGGGAAACTGATCTGGACAAGAGTCCTGCCCCATCGTTGTCGCCCCGTTCCTCTTCACTCCCCCGCCCTCTCCTGCTCATCCTGCTCGTCCTGCTCCTCCTGATCCTGCTCCTACTGCTGCCGTTCCTCCTCGTCCTCCGTGTCCTCCTCTTCCTCCCCCTCTTCTTTTTCCACCTCCTTCTGCTCCTCTTCCTCTTTCTCCCGTTCATCCTCCTGCTTAGACGCCACCTCCTCCGGCGTAGGCGTCTCTTTTGTTTTGATTGCGCATGTAACACGACGGGGTCCTTCCAGGGGCTCTGGGTCCGTTGTGGCGCCCGTCGGCTGACCTGGAGACAACGCAGCGCAGTGGAGGGATTGTGGGAGGTATCGGATGCCAGACATGGCGCGAGTGCGTCTACCTTGTTATCATCATCCGTGCCCCCCCCCTTTCCACATTCGGGGGGGCCTTTTTTGTCCTGTCATTCCTTGGTGTCCGACGTGGGCTCGACGAGGATCCGACGTGGATTCGAGCGTGGATCGCGGCGCGGCGGGACAGACAAGGTCCCCCGAAGGTGAAACGCAACACCTCCTCCTTGTCGTTTCCCTTCACCCCAGCGCAGTTTCCCCGCCCGCCTGCCCCCCCCCCCCCCCCTCCTCCGTCCCCCCGCCTGCGGATGCTCCTGATCAGTCCTCGCTCCTCCGCCGCTCCCGTGCCCGCTACATCTGGGTTCGTCAGGCGCGTGTATGGTCAGACCGAGGTATAAGACAGAGGTCGGCTCGGGGAGGGTGCCCAATGCTGCCTCGTGTGTGTTGGATGCTCTTGTGCATCGTAGGGGGGGGCGCCTTCGAATGTGTTTCAGTCAGAGGGTCTCACGTTCTTGACAGATGATTTTCTGTCTCGGGCTCGACCGTACAGTCGAGCATCTGAGTAAGAGACCTCCTCCCGAAAAGATGGGCCAGCGTTTCTTAACCAAATAGCCGGCCGGCAAGCAGGCCCAGTTTATTGAGCACGTTCGCCCTTCCACTGTCATCAACAGAGATTGGCCCATGCGTGTGTTGAAGGAAGTGCCAGAAACAAACTGGCCCAGCTTTCTTAGATGGCAAGTTTCTTGATCATAGTTCCGGCTGTAGTCGCACAGAAGAGGCGGACAGGGGCGTGATTGCCCGATTGATCTTGGTCTTCCTTCATGGCCCTCCGTCCGGAATCAGAATTTGTCGCGGCGAATCATCATGAGCAGTAGCATCTCCTCTCCTTCCCGACTTTCCTCTTCCTCCTCCTCCTCCTCCTCTTCCTCCTCCTCCTCCTCCTCCTCCTTCCCCTCCTCCTCCCCCTCCTCCTCCCCCTCCTCCTCCTCCTCCTCCTCCTCCTCCTCCTCCCCTCCTCCTCCTCCTCCTCCTCCTCCTTCCCCTCCTCCTCCTCCTCCTCCTCCTCCTCCTCCTCCTCCTCCTCCTCCTCCTCCTCCTCCCCCCTCCTCCTCCTCCTCCTCCTCCCCTCCCCTGCTCCTCCTCCTCCTTCTCCTCCTCCTCCTGCCCTTCCCCCTCCACCCTCCTCCCCCTCCTTCCTCCTCCTCCCCTCCTCCCCTCCTCCTCCTCCTCCTCCCTCCTCTCCTCCTCCTCCGCCTCCTCTCTCCCCTCCTCCTCTACCTCCCCTCCTCTCCTCCTCCTCTACCTCCTCCTCCTGCCTTTCCTCCTCCTCCTCCTCCTCCTCCTCCTCCCCTCCTCTTCCTCCTCCTCCTCCTCCTCCTCAATCCTCCTCCTCCTCCTCCGCCCCTGGCCAGAGGCAGCACCTGGGCGCAGGCCGCCGGCTATCAGCTCGGCTTCGCCGCCGGCTATGCGGCCGTGCCCGAGCTCGGGTACGTGCGTAGCTGGATCAGGCCCCCGCCTTTCGGGTGCGCGCTCCGTCAGCGGTGGCCATTCCTGACTGCACCCGCCACGCCTTCCGACCAGGAGGTGGCTGATTTAGTGATCCTTGAGATGGGGCACAACCTGACATAAGCAATACAGTTGCGGATCTCCGCGCGGATCTCTTGGATCTGCACTCAGACTGGATAGCCGGTCGTAATGGCACGTCCTTGCCCGGGCCAGACCCCCCTCCCCCCTGGGTAACGAAAACAATCGTAGGGAGGGGGGGCCTGGACCCCCCTACTTGCTGTTGCCCGCACGCACACTGGCGATCGCAGCGCACCCCCGCACCGACGCGCCCCTCCCAGGCCCAAGCGTTGCCGTTACCCAGCCCCCCCCCCGGGTAACGATCGCCAGTGGGAACCATATCCAAAAATCAACTTCCAGGTTCGAGATTTCCCAGGTTCGAGATTTCTCGGGCCCAAGCGTTGAGGAATTCTCGACGTCAGGTCCCCACCCCTGGGTAACGATCGCCAGTGGGAATCATATCCCCAAAGCAACTTCCAAGTTCGAGACTTCTCGGGGCCATGTATTGAGGAAATCACGGCGTCAGAGGTCACCGGGCCCGCCG